CACGGCGTTGATTTTAATAAAAACCTATTCACCAATCGGAACGCTAAAGTCTTTACGTGATTGTTCTAGAAAAATTGCGCATATGAAATATGGCAAAAAAATACGAAACCGCCTTCCTAAAATTGGATTTTGGAAGAGACTATGGAAATAGTCTAAAGGTTTTGTAATTCTAAATAAATGCCAGATTTGAAAGCAAGCTCAAGAAATCCATTGTGGGATTAAATGAAGCATTGCATTGGAACATGTATTCTCATAAAGTCAATAAAAGGTTTGGCTAATAGAGAATCATAGAAATTCTTATAAACAAGAAGTTTAGTGGGAGCAAGAGTCAATCTTGTATGGTCCAACAAGAAGTTTGTGAACTCTATTGTGAAATGACTTTCAAATACTAAATGCTTAAGTTTGAAAGGATTTTCGACCATGGACCAAGCAAAAGACGACACTTAGTACATAGTGGGAATTAAGATCTATTGGATAGACTTAATGAAATGTTTAAACGAGTAGAGGAATTTACCGTGTTAAACATGAAGGACTTGAAAAGGCTTTCGACCCATATGTATAAAACTAAGTAAATGTTTGAACTAAGTATAAGCTGGGCAAATACTAAGTCAAACAAGAAAGGCTCTAGTAGAGACTTTCAACCGTAGCAAACAGTTTAGCAAGACTCAGTGAAACTGGATGAGCTAAAAGGTCACATGAATGGAAAATATTGGGAATAATTCTACGATTAAAACCATCATGTATGCTATGATATGGAGTCGTCACTCAACTTACATGCTTAAAGCATGAGAAGCATAAAATACCAATCTAAATCTAAGTGATGAATCGTTAGATTATGGTTAAGAAAATCCAAAGTACTTTGATGAGTAAAAGGGGATAAGTTCTTGACGCATAGAAGCAATTGCAATTTGAGAATTGATGTTGCAAGCACATCCTTAGCAAGGATTAGATCCTTAGTAAGGAAGTCGTTTATAAGCACGAGCTAGAATGCGTCGTGGCTTTAGAATGGTAACATGGACACAGATCCATGTATAATGTGCGGAAATTTAAGGAAAATTTCCATAATCACAAGTGATTAGGGCCTCCCAAATCTTTGTGAGTCGTTCGGAATAAAATCCGAGCAAAGCAACGTCAGAATGTCTACTGAAATATACGTTGAGAATATTGTTGCCTGGAAGGCAATAAAAGGAAAGTGTTCAATGGAAAGTTCGTTTTCGAACGTTGATTGTAGGTTGTCAAGTTGAAAGATCTCAAGTCATGAAAATGAGTGGGAGCCATCACTTGTACAATAAATCCTAGATCACATATGATCCATAACACTCTCAAAATCTTGTTATCTTATTATGAAATTGTTCGATAATGAAGATGCTAAGATTTGCAAAGTAATAGTGGCTAAACCTATGCAATAAGTGAACGACAACATTTGCAATTGCATGAAAGAAATCAAGCATATTAAGTATGGGTGTGATTTCTATAAATGTTTAATGAAGATTATTACTCTTGAAACATTTGAATAAAACCATTTATCATAAGATGAAACGTTTAAGAGTTTCATGGTGGAATTAAAATTTTACTAATAAAATTCCACAAACTATTTAATTGTGGTTTAGAATTAAATAATGAGTCCATTCGATTTATGGAAATATTCAAAACAGGGTATCAAGACCATGTCTTGGATAAAGAAACACCTGTTAAGTGAACATTGAATATTTAAATCGAAAATTATCCCTAATCAAGGTCATCTAACTGATGGACGATTGATGACCACCAGAGATTAGTGTGTAGTATGATTTACAGCACCGTTTCTTGTGCTGCAAGGACATGATGGTCATAAATCATTTGCACAGGTGCCAGTTTGGAACTGCACTGGATCGACCTATGAGAGTACTTTAAGAGATTCAAAATTTTCATAAGTACATTTCTCATTATAGCTGTCGGAACTCGTTTCCTCGACCATGAGTATTGTGAAGTTTTCTTATTTGAGAACTAGTCTCTTTGATGTTGCCTAACGTCAGTCGTAACTGGGGATCATAACGGGAACACTCGGGAGATTAGGTCCTCTTAGTAAGAGAAACTTACAATGCAAGACTGGAAATGTCCCCCTATTAACAATAGGGAACATGTTTTTGTTGTTTACAAGGCCGCTCGAAGAGCGAGACTGTGAAAATGCATGGTCGTGCTCAGATAGATTTTAGAAATCATCTGCTTATTGACAGTCGAACTCGAAGATGAAGAAAAACTTCTGAACGTAATAAGGATGACGATGAATCTTACCTTATAGTTCACGAAGAGACATTAAGCGACATAGGAAATGGGCTATACACTATATACACACTTGTCCGGAAGGACAAGTGGGAGATTGAAAGGAATGGTGTCCTTCCAACAAGTGTATTATTCCGATAAAGGGTTCAGAATTATCGGAAAGCTAATTCTTCAGTAAGGTCAAGTGATCGGAATGTCTAGGTGGATGCCGCTTCCGATCAGTAATATTAATGTACAATTAATATTATAGCTTAATCTTGACTGAACCCTTCGGGTCACACCCAATCGAGTAACCGATCCGAGGTGACGAATCAATCCGAAGGATTGGATGAGTCGTTACAGTATTACGAACAAAGACGTCGGATATCGAGCTTAGAGCGTCGAGATCGAGTGTCGCAAGTCGAGTCGAATTTGGAATTTGACGAGACGGGAAAAATCAACAAGTTCGAGCGTAGCCGTAGCATCACATTGGCCTAGCCAAGTGGACGTTAGGCTAGATCGAGCTAGCGTGCACTATGCGTGCTAGGTGCACCATGTGTGTGCTAGGCGCACCGTGCATGCTAGGCGCATCTTGCGTGCTAGGCGCACTACACACCATCGCATAGTTGTGAGCTTGCGTGTGTGTGTACATCGCTATCTCTAGGCGCATGGCAGCACCATCGCAGCAGCAGCCAATGTGCTTGCTTGCTTGCGTGCATGCCTTCGCATGGCAGCACCAAGCAGCGAGCAACCACTCGCACACAACCGCGCATTACAGCAAGCACGCTATGCTCTATGGCTGTGCATGCTTGCGTGTTGGGCATCGCATCATGCTATGTGCTATGGCCTAGAATGCGTGTATGCTGGGCAGTGCCTAACACAAGCATCAGCTGCTAGGCAGCGCCTAGCATGCTATACACTGCAGCAGTAGCCCGCATTGCATGTGTGGCGTGCTGGCTGAGTGCATGCGCATGCGGGCTAGCTGGCCAGCCCAGCCAAGGTGCCAAGCGCCAGCTGGGCAGCCGTGGCAGCCAAGGCAAGCTAGCTGCCAGCTATGCGTGGGTGACCTTGAGTGTTGGTGGGGACCAATGCTTGGTCATAGCCTTGGGGAGCAAGGTGGGATAGTACCCTCCATTAGTGGTCCTCACCTAACCTCTCCTCACCATGTGACACTTGTTGATTATCTATTTCTTGTCATTTTATGATTGAAATGCAAATTCTCCCACATTGGTGGGAGAATGGAAAATCAAGTAGCATTCCCTTATAAATACCCAAGTGTTGGGCATATGGGAGTACACTTGAGTTGAACTCAATGAGGCTTCTCCCTTAAGGTGAGAAAACCTCTAAGTTTGTAATACTCTAGTCTTTCTAGGTCTAGCACCGACTAACCTTCGGGGTAGGGGCCGTTCGGGTCGGGTCTTGAGGGTGGACTCCATTGGATGCCGTCGCACTTGCGAGGCTAGAGCTTTCGAAGTAAGATCTCGATTTGGGAGCGAAGCACGCATCGAGGGTATAACTTCTTTCTCTCTTCTTTTAATTATTGCTTAATTATGTTTATGCTTGTTTTAATTGCTTTTATTATGGGGGCGGGTCTTGGCGGGTTTCTTTTCGCGTAGTGTGGGTCACTACGAAACCCAACATGATTGTATTCGCTGTAATGCTTGATCTTGGATGTCTTTAGTATTTGATTATCATATTATTTAGTTTAATTGTCTTACTTTGATATTTAGTTATTAATTCTCATTTATTTGATTTGGTTAATTGCTTAGTAATTACTCGAGTCTATTTAATTAGTTGAACCATAGTCTATTGGGATTCGACCCTTACTTTCCCGTCTACATAGTAGTGGTCTAGTTAGGTTTATTTTTGTTAGGTATGTGACACACCTATTAAATTTTGGCGTCGTTGCCGAGGACCAACGGTTTTATTCTAGTTATTTGTGATTCGTTTTTACTAAGCTTTATTTGTTGCTTCGACTATTGTCTCTTGTGTTTTTGATTTCTCTGCTTTTAGTTCTTTGTTGCATGCAAACTTGACGTTTAGGGTCAGACGATTTAACACCATTTGATTATGAAATCGAAGAAACTAAAAGGAGAAGAGAAGGTAGAAGAAGAAGGAGGAATCAAAACAATAGAAACATGGCCGACCTAAGAACAAAATCTCTTTTGGAGTACGGTATTCCTGATACAACAACCAGACTCTTCTCTAGCATTTTCAGACCACCCGTTACTACTCAGAACTTTGAATTGAAACCACAGTTCATTCAATTCATCACTAATGACTCGTTCGCAAGCACACCTCATGTTTGCCTAATTAGTCACATTGATAGTTTCTTGGAGAAATACGATACTATGAAGCTAAATGGTGTTACAGATGATGCTATTAGACTTTGCCTTTTTCTTTTCTTATTACGGGATAGGGCGAAGGAATGGTTGATAGATTAAGGTACTGGCTCTCTTGACACATGGGACAAACTGGTGAAAGATTTTCTAATCAAGTTCTTGGGACAGGAAAAGACTGCAAGGTTGAGAAATGAGTTATCTACTTTCGGGCAATCAGATGATGAGTCCCTATATGAATCATAGAAGATATTCAAGCGATTGCAGAGACAATGCCCTCACCATGGTATTGCTGAATGGATGTTGATCCAAACCTTTTACAATGGCTTAACTCATGAGTTCTGAATCTATATTGATGTTGCATCTGGGGGTTCTCTCTTGACTAAGAACCCAACTTAGGCAAATGAGCTAATTGAGAAGATGGCGGCCAATGCAATTATCATCCACGGACGAATTAGTGTGAAGAAAGGAGGAAAATTTGATGTTGATCCTCTAACTCTTTTGACTATTTCTGTGCAGGCATTGACAAGCAAGTTCGATAAGCTCCAAACTGGATCCTCTTCTGGTTCACGTGAAACTTGTCAAATGTGTAATGTACAAGGTCACATTGCACCTGACTGTCCACAAAAAAACGAATGAGATGTCGATCGAGGAAGCCAATACATTCTACACTTTGAATTCCAAAAGGCCGTATGACCCTCATTCAAATACATACAATGAAGGTTGGAAACATCATCCAAATTTATCTTACAAGAATACCCAAACTCAATAAAATCCACCTCCACCACCACCTCGAAACAACAATTATAATCCACCACCTGGTTTCCAAGCAAGGCCACCTCTAGTTCAAAAACCTATGCAACCACCCCTGCAAATTAAAGATCCAACTTTGAGCTGATGATGGAGAACTTCATTACCGCAACAAATAATTCCATCCAACAATTACAAGCTCAGAACAAGCTCATGGAAAATCAAATAAGTCAACTTGCTCATCAAGTTGGCCAATCTTCAAAGACTCTGGGCACCTTTCCGGGTTAAATAGAGCAACCACCAAAGGGGCATATAAATGTCGTGACTTTGAGGAGTGGAAAGAAGTTGAAAGATTCCCCTGTAAAGGAGCCATCAAAGGAGGTTGTTAAAGAGGTAGTCATAAATGAGAAGGTGGTTGATAGTAGCGTGATTGAGGAAGAGCCAAAGGCATCAACTCCACCACCACTTGCTCCATATGTGCCACAAGTTCCTTTCCCGCAAAGGTTGGCTCAAGCTAAGTTAGAAAAAAAGTATGGAAAATTTCTCGATAATCTGAAAAAGCTTCACATCAACATTCCATTCTTAGATGCAATATCCGAGATGCCATCTTATGAAATTTTTTTAAAGGATATGCTCTCTAACATGAAGAAGCTAGACGAGAATGCTACGGTTGCGTTGACTGCAGAGTGTAGTGCGATTTTTCAAAACACAATTCCTAAGAAATTGGGCGATTCAGGTAGCTACTCAATTCTGGTGAAGCTTGGGGATATAGAGATCAACAAGGAATTATATGATCTTGGGGCAAGTGTGAGTCTCATGTCGCTCACTATTTAGAAGAAACTTCAAATGGGTGAACTAAAGCCTACACGCATATCTCTACAACTTGCGGATAAGTCGGTTAAATTTCCTTTGGATATACTTGAAGATGTTCCTCTTTGCGCAAGAAAATTCTTTATCCCATGCGACTTTGTTGTGGTGGCACCGCCTGGCACGAGCCTGCCAGCGGTACGACATGGCACGGTGACCGAGGAGTGGGCTGTGCCGTGAACACAATTTTGAAAAATTGGCACGAGCATGGCACGAGCACGGTGGGCGGCATGGTAATTTGGCCCACAGGACGGCCCGCCGGCACGACCCTCCAGCACGGCACGCGACACGCTAGGCACGTCCCAGCATGACACGATCTGTGCAAAACGGCTATATTTCGCTGCTTCCAACAACCATAAAACAGTTATAAAACGACTATAATAATAAATTAATAATCAAATTAACATAAATAATAATAAAGAGTAAAAGAAGTATAATAATAAAAATAAGAATAGTAAAAAGAACAATAATAATATAATAATACAAAAACATAAACATAAACATAAATTAATAAAATTATTTAAATATACTTGTTTCGGGGTTTTCTGATGTCCTGCGGGAGAGTTACAATTCCGAGACTGGAACCGGACGTCTGTACCTGCAAAATAACGGAGACTCCTGAGAGCTCCGCCTCCAACGGTCAAGTTAGTACCTGATTAAGGAGTAATCAATACAGAAAGTAAAGTAATGAGATCTCTCTAGGTGAGAGTGCTTAGTGTTGGTAATCTGCGTCGTTAGCGAGATTAGCCGGTTGTTAATAAGTCTGTTCTTCTCTGCTTGATCTCTTAATTATTCGGTTGTTTTTTTTGTTCCCTGATTAATGAGGATTAATCGAGTATTTATAGCCTTGGGAAGCGTGCAACTCTCTAGGCTTAAGGTAAACCTAGGGCTGATCGGGCCTCTAGACTGAAATGGGCCTTGATGGCCGGTTGTCCCACTTGGCATGGGTGGACACGTGGCGTGTCTTAAGTGGTCCGTGGAGGACGTATCTGTGACTGACACGTGGCAAGCTCCTGTTGGCCTTCGTGAAGGACACGTGGCGGAACCTGGTTGGTCCACTTGTCAGACGGTGATTGGTGGATAAAAATCCCCTAATCATTTGCCCCTCACAGGTGGCACGCGACTGGTCACGTGTCGCCTGTGACAGGTGTCGCACGGTGACAGGCGACGGCCCGTTACAGGTGTCACCTTGCAGACGGCCGAGAGATTTTCCCGCCCAAATTTGAATTTGGAAGCGACCCTTCGCCTTCTCATTTTGCCTATAAAAGGAAGTGCTGACTTCGGTCATTTTCACATTTGAGAACTTTTGCGAGAACATTCGGACCCCTGAACTTGCTCTGACATTTTTGGACTTTTTCTGCCTACCGCCTGTTCTGACAAGCCGACTGACCCGAACTTCCAAGACTTCATCAACCGTCACCCGTTCAGGTAACTCAGTTCTCTTACTCTTAATTTTCTTTTTATTTTTTGAAATGGCACCATGGAAGCACACGACACGCCCTAAGTTAGTGATCAGCCGGTCACCGGGGACGGCTGAATCTAGGACTAGGAGTGCCGCCTGCCCTTTTCTGGACCCATCTTTGCCCTTTATACAAAGTCCGACTGAATCTGTGTCTATGCAGAACGTGATGGCCAGAACAAAAAAGACTGCTATGATATCAAACTCAGACGGCTCCTCCCAAAGGGTGCTCCTTAGCGAAACATCTGACCAGGCGCCAGATGTAGAACGAGGCGACTGTCAAGCTGACAGTGCTGAGAGAGGGACCAAGGTGTTCCCTTCTCATCTAACCGTGGACATGTCTAATTTTCCTTCTGCTCCTTCTAAGGGAGAGGAGGCGGGCCCCTCTAGGAGAGGGGAGGAGTCGTCCTCTTCGGACTCGTCAGGGGACGAGTCCGAATCCAGCTCTTCTGACCATAGTTCTTCTGGCTCAGAAGAAAAACATAGCCGCCTACAAGAGGCGAGAAGTTCTCATGCAGTGGAGAAGGGGGATAATTGGGCAGAGCCGTCCGCCTCTTACAGAGAGGAAAACGCCCCCTACTACTGCAGGGTGCCCCGGGGCCGGATTGCAACCATGCGAGACAACGTGGCGAGCTTTATTGCTAACCACAAAATGGGCCCGGAGTATTTACTGTTTGTGCCGGATCCAGAAGATACTGTCGTCTGGCCGGCTGGTACCAGCTATGGTGACGGCTGCTTTGGCTGCTATGTGGCGGCCATCAAAGCTGGACTGCGCTTCCCATTACATCCGGCTGTTCAGCGGATTTTAGATGGGTATGATCTGGGGTTATGGCAGTTAGCCCCCAACTCTTGGGTAAACGTACTCGGCTATGTGGCCGGGTGCGAACTGAACGGGGTGGAGCCAAGTTTTGAGGCTTTCGCCCACATGAACTATCTCAGCCGGACCCCCAAGTCGGGAGGTACCGGCTGGTATCAATTGACAAGCCATAGGGGTTACCTCATGACGAGAGGTAAGGCAAACAAATGGAAGGATTGGCGGAACACCTTCCTTATTATCGAGAGTTCAGACACGGAGCTGAACAAACGTTTTAATAAGTGGAACAGGGATCCACCTCTTCTCGCAGGCGGCCGCAGCATGCCGCCTGTTCCCCCAAAGGCTAAAAAAGAGATCCTAGACAAAGGACTCTTCAAAGTAGAGACTAGGGTGAACTCTACTTCAGGGGTACGAGAGCAAGTACCCCTAAATTGCGTCCCGAGCTTCAAGTGGCTCTATGACGAGTACTTCTTGGCCGCCTGTGGCCTCGGCAGTCGGTGCTCTAGAGGTAGCCGGCCTGACGAATACTCTGTTTTTTCACGCCTTGTTTACTTGGAATTTTTACTAACTTTGCTGTTTATTTCTTTCAGCCGACGCCATGAGTAAAATAACAGCATCTAAGACTGCGGCGGCCATGCTGCGGGTCTCACTAATGAAGCAGTCGTATGTCGACTCCCCCAGCAAGGAGGCACCCTTGGTAAGCTTTGAAAACTCCTCCTTTTAGTTGTATTATGCATATACTAACTCTTTTTGTTTTCAGTCTGGCACTCCAAGGGCTTCTTCCTCGCAACAGCCGGACCCCAAGGCCCGGAGGACGACTGTTGCAAGCTCTCCTGGGTCTTCCAGGAAAACAGTGGCGGCTGAGAAGCAGCCGGCCACTTCTTCAAAAACCCAGGCGGGGCCGCCTAGATGTATGGACACTTGCTTGTAAAAACTCACCCTTGCTTCCTTCTTGATTAGGTCTAACTTGTTTTTTCCTTTCGCTTAATGCAGCCGGCCCCCAGGGACTTGACTTGGTTGAGGTAGCCAAGTCAATGGTTAAAATAGTTCCTCCATCTGACAGGGAGGCGGTCAAGGGTGCCGGCACCCTTGACCTCGATGGAATTTCGGGGATCCTAGCTGAGGTATACTTAGCACCTTTTTGAGCTTTTGAGTTCCAGGACGCCTGTTAACTCTTTTGATTGGAAACTGACGCCTGTTTTTCTTTGTACTTAGGCCCTGCTCCGAGTCAACAGCCTTCGCAAGCCGATTGATCGGAAAAACAAAGAGGTAAAGGCCGCAAAGGCTATGGCCGCCTCCAGCTGTGATAAGGCAATGTTTCAAATTGCCCAAAATGAAGTACTGACCCTTGATCTTCTTTATTATCAGGCGCAGGCGACCGCCGCTGTTCGGGCTCAGCTAGAGACGGCCCAAAAGAAGGTTGACGAGCTGGAGGGGACCGTCACCAAACTTAAAACCGAGCTGAAACCCCTTCGCCAAAAAATGCACTCTTACGAAGCCATGGAGAAATCTTTGGCTAACGTAAAAGAACGCCTGGTGAACCAGGAGAAGAGTCTTACCCAAGAGCTCTCGGACAAGGCCGAGCAAGAGAAACAAGAGCTCGTCCGGGAGATGGTGGAAGACTCCGCCCAAATCCAACGCATGACCTGGGAACGACTGTTCCCCAGTGCCGACTTTGCCTCATGGGAAAGAACGTACCGCCAGTGTTCGGAAATATATAATCAACAGATCCTGGCGGCTGCTGAAGAAGAGGCGATGGACGTTGCGTTGGAGGAGGAAGAGCCGGTTGTGGCGCTTGTGCCACTTGGGGGTAAGGCATCAAAAAATGATGCAGCTAAGGCCGAGTCCAGCAAGAAGAGTGCTGACCAGGCGGCTGCTGCTGATACTGAACTGCCCCCTTCTTAAGCTTTAAGTATATTTTTTTCTTTTCACGGCCTGCGTGCCGTTTGCTTTGTAATTACCCGGCCAGGGGGCCGGGGTTTTGAATATTCTGCTGGTCTTTTATGGCCGGCTCATTTTAATCAAATATTTTGTTTTTGTTCAAATTTGTCTAAGTATTTGAAGTTTGCTCACTTGACCGACTGTTGTGTATGGCCAAACGTTTAGACAGGTAAGTATGCCGCCTATGCCCCTGGACGACTGGTTGTCTGTTTCCAGGATAGATGATCAGTCGGCCATTTAATCAATCGGTATTCGAACTCTTTATTCAATTTGACCAAGTAAATAGAATTACCTAGTAGCCAAGGATTTTAAGTAGGAAAACAAGCGGCGGGTACCGGTTGTTTCCCTTTATTGCCAATGTTGGCTTTAAACTCGTTATTTTTTAACCTAGCAAGAGTATTGGTTGAGAGCCTTTGTTTATTAAAAACAAGTGGACGACTCATACCTTTTAGGCTTCATACTAAGTTTGAGTGACTATTAAGGTAACATAGGAGTTACTTAGTCTTTGTCACAATCTTGATTGAGTAGTAGAGGTATCAGGCGGCGTAGGCCGGCTAGACCCCTTGATTCACCAATGTAAGCTATTAACTTAATAGGTTATCCAGTAGGAATAGGGGTTCGAGTGCCCTTGTTTGTTTAAAACAGGCGGACGACTCAAACCTTTTAGGTTCCATACCAAATTTGAAGGAGTGACTATGAGTTAACTTTGGAGTTACTCAGTCGCCGTCACTTTGTTTGAGAAGTAGAGGTACC